GGGTTTAAAAAAATGCATATCAGTATTTCCTACAGGGTAGGCATCGCGTGCGTATGCCAGTAGCAACAGGCAGGCGCCACTGTAATTTCTGCCAACATTTTAATTAATTCAGTTATAAGTAATGATAGAGAAGGAGATTGCGTTGCAGTTTTTTCTTATCCACTTGCAGCCTATGATTAAATGGGCTTTTCTTAGACACAAACAAACATTCAATAAGCGCAGCCTCAAGACTCTGGCTTGGCATGTTGCTGCGAGCCGGTTTTGTGCGAGACTTGCTGAACTTTTTCTTTTTCTATTGTTTGAAAGAGATTTACACATGCGCGTGAAGAAAGCGTTCGGTTTGGTTGTTGGCCGGCAGTAAAGTATAGGAAATTGGAAATTCTAATACCAGACAAATGGTCGTTAATTGTCTTGTCGGTCTATTTATAGTAAAATGTGGCGCCTAAGGCATGTGGGCTGAAAAGAGGTGGACACTTATCTAGTAGGCGGTTATTTTTGTGTGTCCTTGCAGTTTGCTACTACAAATTGAAGATGCTATGATTTGTTTTTAGCATTGACACAGCAGGCCAGGGTTCGCGTACTAGTTCGACCAACATCTAAAGTTGTAGAAAATTAATTTTCCCAAATGCGGTCGCGCATCTGAAGGGAATATCAAGCCCCTTCCCCCGAGTGTATTTCTGTCAATAATTAAAAAAAATCTCTCGGCCCTTCGGAGGCCGATTTATATATAAGTTCTTCGTATGACGGATTTCAGGCAGTACAGGGCAACGGCACTTCTTTCAAACGCGTGAGCACAAGTTGCCACATCCGCAGTTTTTCTTCTTAATGAGAACTTTTCCAAAGACCTCACTCCCCAGGTAGAAGTCTGCTTTCGTAATTTTATTACACCTGCAATCTACACTCCCCAAGAGCAGGTATTCAAATTGAATAGAAAGATGTAGAGTTCTGCTAATGCTTATGGTTAATCAAGGCAATTCACTCAAGCAGCCCGTGACTTTATTGATTAATTATTTATTTTTAAATGCGCTGACGAGGTCATTGATCGCATTTCGAAACATTACTGCATTTCACTGTCAAATCAGATTTTTGTCTAAAATAATTTAGGCGGATGTCATTTGAATTTTTAATCGTCAAGCGCTAAGAATTTATTTATATTCAATATAATTTAATTATTTTTTTTTTGGTTTCATTATTTGGGGTATTTTTTCTGTTTTTTTTTTTTTTTTGTTGATAAAGTGTACATATGTACATACTAAATAATATGATTCAAAGGACATTCAATGCGCGTGTCGGCCATAAAACTGTTTATTCTTTCATTTTTATTGAAATTGCATCACTGCAAAAGATTGCAATTCAGACAAGGGCATCCGTAAACAAATATTGTGAATGAATTTAATGATATGTGCTCATTATGCTGATGGACAAATATAATAGGTATACAATACAGTAAATGGCCATGAAAGTAGGAATATTTATGGATCTTCTTACTGGTTTTAATTTATGAAGTTTCTGAGGATGTCCAAAAAGTATAAATAAAGGGTGTTTTTAGGCGTATGATTTTCAATAAGGCAATACTTTTTTCGGAGTGGGTCCTATTGACAGCTCTTACTTGATTTATGCTCAGTTTGGTTGGCTTTACGAATAAGTACATCCGTCATCGCACTCCCACATAAAGGAATACTTGGCGGAAGGAACTTGGTTTACGGCCTTACAATTTCCAACATGTGGCTGAATTGAAGCCGAACGATCATCAAGCGCGTCGCACGTTCGGTGAATGGGCCCAAAACGAGATGATCGTCGATACTGATTTTCACAACGAAATTTTGTTCAGCGATGACGGCCACTTTTGGTTGAATTGGTTCCAACAACAGAAAAAAATTGTCGCATTTGCGGTGATTATAGTCCTCAAGCTTTTGTTGAGACCCCACAACATACCCACAAGGCTACTCTTTGGTGTGTTCTAAGAGGTAATAGTTGGTTCATATTTTCTCCAAAATGAAGTCGGTTATAATGTTACTATCAATTGGAAAGGTTATAGAACCACATTCATTGGCTTTTTCATGTCTGAATTGGAATATGTTGATGTGGACGACTTTTGATTCAAGAAGATGGCCGTATATTCCATGTCATATGTTAAATGAAAGAATATTTTGGTGAGCTCATGATCTCGCATTGTGGGCCACCAAGATCACGCGATCTAACGCCGTTTGGCTATGTTTTATGCGGGTAGGTGAACTCGTCTGTTTATGCAAAGCCCATGATGGTTGGCGCCTAAGAAGAGATTATTCATTTTTAAAAAAGGTTGAAGAGTCAGAACAACTCAACCCTCTCGTAAAAATAGCTCAAGCAAAGGATGAGTAGATAGAATAGTTGAGATATTCCGGCTTTTCTACTGAGTCAAAATTCCAAGGCTGCACTAAAAAAGATAGGATGATGCTGGAATATGAGATCCGACAACTAAACTTAAAATATTTACACTGACGGATTAAAAATAGCTGACAGATTTTGCACCGAAGTCTATTGCACCGCGTTGGACCTCAGGCAACCCCTCCAGTATGCGCAATACTGCGGTATCTTCCGGACGAAAGCCCTTTTTCTAACCAATAACGTGGTAGCCAACAGTATTCCCACGAATAATCTCACATCGTATTATATTAGAAAATATTGTTAGGAGCACAGTATATTATATCTACAAGGTTCCAACAGAACTCAATGAACGAAACCTGAAATACGTTAAGGACTCTGTACAATGAAGTCAACGGGAGAGCAAAAAGGTAGCGCAGGGCTGGAAGGAATAGCTTTATCGACCCACAAGACCGCCAAAATTATGCGTGATAAAGGAGGATATAACCACTACATGCACTCGCTATCCTTAAGGCACGAGTGGGACTTTGAGATGCAAGGCTATTTGGAGGATTAGAATCTCAAAGCAATTACGACAACTACATTTTCCCGAGTTAGATTGCTCCACCTTCGAGCACTACACAACACAAACAGGTCCATTTACAGCTCAGCATCATTTTAGTAAGGACACGTGGATGCCTTTTTCGCTGCATTCTGGTTAGATTAAGTTTTCATCTAAAAGAAGAAACACGAAGGACCTTTTGACTTTTAATACCGGCGTTCAAATCCTGATACATCCAACACCCAAAATTTGCAGAAAAATAAAAAATGAATAGAAAATTAAGATAAATTTTCTAATTACGGTCGCGCCTCAGCAGGGAATGTCAACGCATACATCGCTTCAGCGGTTACAAAGCGCCAGTTTTATATTTTATACTACAAACTTTTGGTTTTATAAGTTAGTTAATTGTATGAATTAAATATTTTTGTCGTACAATAAAGAAATGTGGTAGCAGTGATAGCTGCTTCGGAAATTACCACAAATCTCTATCAGACCTCGAACCAATCGGACTTAACAAGTGAGTGGTCTAACCGCTGAGCCAGCATTAGCCAAGTCATCTCTTGTTATTCATTTTATTATTATTGTTTAACAACTATTAAATGGTTTTCATAAAAATCCATCAGTCGTGCTCTAGAAAAAGCTCTAGGCCCCATTTGTTGGAAAAGAGGCAACACGCATAATCATTTCAGCATCAAATAACTTGTGCTTATTAAGACTTCATCACTTTGAAAACTTGAGCCAGAATTCGTGAAATTTTAGATCAATTTGCATTGCATACTTTTAGGCAAATAAACGTTAAAGAAACTGCGATTCCCAACACGTTATTCACCGACCCATATAAGGTACAACTAAGCAATATTAACTGGTACAGTGATGCATTTTATTAATGTTTCACTTAACTGTACTTGTCTCTTTCCTTTTAGCCACATACTGTATTCGGTGGCATGAATTCATAAAATTCAATATGCAAAATTCTTGTACGCACATCTAAATGCGCATAAAACAAATCACCAAGATCTTTATCACTTTGTTAAGAAAAACATTTTCGTAAGAAATTCATAATCTCCTTGCAATTTAAAGGAAAATGATCTAAGACATGGCTAATTAATTGTCCAATACACGTACATAAATACGGTCAATATGCATCATTTCACAGCTGAACGCTTATATATATATATGTATATAAACACATTGAAGATATTGATCTTGAGCAACAACAATGAATTGCAAAATGTAACGAAATTTGCTATAACCAATATAAAAGCAAATAAGCCAAGAAAATTTATATGTATCTATGCACATACGTATGTATGTGTTAGTGTATAGAGAACATCCGAAGAAAAGTGACGAAAAAATTGATATTTTCATGCAAACTTGATAAGAAAGTAAACGCGCAGCAGCAAAGTGCGCGGACGAAACAAACAGCCTCGGAAGCACCGCTCTCGCAGCGATAGTGAGGACTGTTGATGTTGCTGTTGCTGTTGCTCTTGCCGTCGCCGCCGCCGTCGCCGTCGCCGTTGCGGCTTGGCGGTGTTGTGTGTGATTGATAATTTAAAACAAATCCATAAATGTCTTATACACAGAGTGAATTACATATTTATACATACACGTATACATATATATTGTATATATATATTTTTTTTTTATGAAAATAAATATTTTAATAAAAAAATATATATTTATTTGTTACTTACATACTATTATATGTATATATGTGCATACATACATTTATATGAATGTATGTATGTTTTTTTATACATAAATATTGCAAACACTTGTGCATCTGCTGATATTGGTTGGGTCTTTTTGTTGTTGTGCTGCTTTGTCGATTGGCGTCGGAAGCTTTCCATTCCACTCCATTCATACATGCATTTATATGCATATATGTACGTATGTATGTTTGTATGTATGTGCATACATACTTCCTCCTCCACCATTTCGTATGCGCTTCACTGGCGATTTTAATAATAAAAATTACAAAAACAATAAAAACATATTAATAAAAGCAACAAAACTGAGCCATCATCCATCCGCACCTACACGTATGTATTTACACTCACTGTTCTTTGTTTTGTTTTTGCTTGCCTATTTATAGATCGGTGCCTGAATTACCTTTTCGAGGGTTATCAAATGTGGAATATCTGAGTATTGGCGACAATGAACTCGAAGAGATCCCTAAGCACATGCTGAATCACATGCCAATTGTGAAAACATTCGATATGGGCCGTTGTCGTATACGTTCGGTACTGCAGGACGATCTCAAAGGCACACAAATGGTGGTGAATCTCTTCTTGCCCAGCAATAACATAACACGTTTGGATAAGGGTGCATTCCCCACCAGTCTGGTCACTCTGCATTTGGGTCGCAATCAAATTGAGCATCTCAATGGAACGCTTCGTCATTTGGATAAATTGGAATCGCTATTTATAAATATGAATCGGATTAGTAGTTTGGATAATGAATTGCCGGAATCGAATCGTTTGAAATTGATTATGGCGCAGAATAATCGCTTGGAGCTCTTGCCGGAGAGCATGCGTTTCATGCACAAATTGGAGAATCTACATGTACAGCACAATCTCTTGCGCACCTTCGATGGCATCTTTAAGCATGCGCGGAATTTGACGGAATTTCATGCGTTCAATAATGAGATTGAATATTTGCGCCAGGATGACTTTTTGGAATGTCAGATGTTGGAGGATATTGACTTTTCGGTTAATCACATTAAATCTTTGAATGGCTCACTCTTGCCGATGAGTCGTTTGCGTCGTGCGAATATTTCGTACAATGAAATCGAAGAGTTCTCCATGAATGAGATACGCGGCCTGGTGACTTTACATTATTTGATATTGAACAACAATAAAATTAAGCGCCTCACTGGCCATCAGGAGAATAATATCGATCAGAATTCATATTTGATTGAATTGGTTTTGGATAATAACGAATTGAAGTCTTTAGATGGCGCCTTGATGGGCTTGAATAGTTTGAAGCATTTGAGCGTGGCCTTCAATCAATTGGAACGTATCTTGCCCGAGGATTTCATTGGCTTGGCGAAGTTGGAAACAATTGATTTATCCCACAATCAACTATTGACATTGAAGGAAATGGAAAGGGTGAGTAAACTATTTCGTTTTGCTTTAGATATATTCGATATTACCGGATTGGACACGACCTTTATCAGGGAATAGCTCTCTTGGTGGTCCAGTTGAGATTAGCATCGTCTTAAGTAGTAGAAATCCTTCGTTGCTTTGCTCTTCTTGTTCTGATTGACGCTTCAAAATCCTATTTTAATGGGATTCCAATTTAATTTACCTTCAAACAGACTTGGCAAACAACAACAATAGTTGTGCGCTCCAAGAAAACAAACGAGTTTTTATGGGTTCTGATATAGTGTTTGAGAGATATTTCATCACAAAGCCAGATTATTGTGACGTTACGCCCCCGAAACATTGAAACCTGGGGCAGTTTTCCCACTCAGCTCTTTATTAGTGTCTCCATTCAAGGCGCCGAAGTGTCAGAGTATATTCCAGAGCAAACTCATAAAACTCATTATAATTCAGACCCTCTCCATATAAACTCAAAAATTCATTTGACGTGTCCAAAGCTCTTCAGAAATTTGCTGAACTGCACAGTCCCCGTTTGGGTGCTCTGTGACCATAGACATGAATTGACCACAGAGATGAATTGCTGGGCAGACGAGCCAAGGTAAAGGTGGAAGTCTGCTTAGTCTTCAGGATATATAAGGCATTAGTAAGCCTTCCGCTAGATGCCAAAGTCCTTTTAAAATTCATTAGGGAGTTTAAGTTTATGGAAAAGAAATCGAACCTAAAATAATTCAGCGACCTACTTGAGCTGCTTATGTGAGCTTTCATCCTAGCTTCATGGACGAAAAAACTGCTGCCGCGAGACCTACGCATCAGCGTTTCGAACTCTTCCATTGCTTCACGAAGCTCAGAAATTACCGCTTTTCTTTGTAAATAATAAATTTATTTTAATCTAATTAATTTTGCAGACTTTCCTTCCGAATTTGAGTATTCTGAATGCCGCACATAACAATATTACAAGATTGGAGAAGGACTTCCACGGTTTACCAGTGCTGTGCAACGCCAACTTGACCAGCAATCAAATATCGTCGATTTCCTCGGATTTAGTTTCACAAACGAGATGCAAGAATCACAATGTGCCCAACAAGTTGGCTTTGTATTTAGATGGTGAGTTGAATTGAATGTTCCTTCATCGTTTTTTCGACTAATCCTACATCACATTCTCTTGCAGACAATCCAATACTTTGTGATAATCGTCTCAACGAACTCTGTCCCATTATGCTGAAGCAGGAGACCGAAATCCATGGCAAGTCGCAGTGTTTCGAGAGTGACCAAGAGGTTTGCACCGTCTTGCCCATGTTGTTTGTCAATAACTATCCACTGTTGATACCAACCCAGCTGAGTCAACAAGTTTTGGCCAATGCAAAGCCGGTCGTTATAGTGCCACTACTCAATCCAACAATAAACAATGCCGATGATGTGTTGCCACCGTTGATTGCGCCTTTGGGAAACCCAATAATAAAACCATTAATAATTGCAGCACCGCTACCAACACTTACAACAACTTCAACCACCACCACCACCACAACACCATCAACAACAACAGCAACAACGACTACCACTACCACCACTTCGACAGTCGAACCGAATGCTGAAGCTCATGTGGAAACTTTGGAAGCGCCAACGCAACTCGTCGCAACTGCTTTAGAAACCAATGAAACTGGCGGCGCTGGCGAAAGTGCTATTACCAATACCACAATAACCACGGCACCGAACACAGCCAAGGAAAAGCCAAATGCTATTGACTTGAATAACAACACGATGGACATAACGGTTGGTAAAGGCAAAGGCGCTCTTGCTGGTGCTGCTGTCGATGGCGAAGGAGCGCCGGAAACAGCAGTTGATGATGTAAAAGAGATACTCGGTGCAACAGGCGCACAAGACGGACCCGAAAAGCCTGCCGAACAAGCCATTTCGGAATTAACTAAAATCATTGGCTCAGCACCAGTTGCCTTGGCACCATCGCCAATCGCTTTCGAAGCAGTGGTACTGCCACCTGAAACAGCATCGATTGCGCCATTAACTGAGTACGCCACGGTGGAGTATATACCAAATTTGGATGAATTCCTACCGGGAAATCGTCCACCGCCGAACGTGCTTGAAGAGGATTCGAATTCGAATTCGGTGCACGAAGAATTCCCATCGGTCGTATTGGCCGATCTCGATAATGCACCGCAAAGTCTACTAACACCAGATGAGCCACCCGAAAATCCTTAAGCTCCCATGCAGAGACGCACAAATCGTACTACATATTATGCAATTATACATATTATTACATTTTAAGTTTCCCCTCGCCCTATCTAACTGTATGTGTATCCCTGTTCGCCTCTATGTATTGTGCTGTCTACTACTTGTCCACGCCCTTTGCAGGTTAATTATATTTTAATTTAATTTTTGATTATCACATTTAGTTTTAGTAGTTATAGTTGAAATTAATGAATAATTAATATTATTACGAATATGTTTGTATGTATGTATAATCGTTTGTTTCAATTTACATATGTACACATGCACATACGAAATCGATCCACATCACACACACACTCGCGCACACATACCACAAAACTCAAAACTCAAAACTCACACATATCCAACTTACATAAGTCCAATTTGCACACACACACACACACACACACACACACACATAGGCGCATAACCGCAAACATAAAATACATTCAAAGAAATCCAATGCAAAAACAATCATTATTAATGTTAAACAATATTTCAAGATTTAAGTTATTATTATTATTATTATTACATGTATTTTTTAATTTCAAGTGGCTGTTGCACTTGTTGTAGCGATTAACGAAAAAAGTGGAGAAAGTATGCGAAAGAAAAACGAAAATGAAAGTAGTTCCAAAAAAAAAAAAAAATTGTAGAGAATTAATTTGAATTAAATCCCCTTCCACATATTCTGAAACTCTGCACAGAATTTAACAACGCATTGTTGTGAGCGCCATCTTGCCAGAGAAACAAAATTTTAAAAGCACAAGTCAAGCGAGTAATAGAAATAGAAACAGTGCATTTGTGTAGCATGCTTTTAGGCGCCAGCTATATCACAACCGTGAGATGTTACATTCTGTACAGGGCATCAGGATTTGGTTAGTAATGTAAATGTTGATTTATTGTGACTAAAATATAAATAAGTTTATATTTTGTGATTATACCAAAATTTATTCACTTCTATATACATACATAGTATATGTGTTTAGAGATGTTTTACATATAATATTACCTACATATGTATGCTTATGATAAATTACGTTTGGTTGATTTAAATAGGAATTCATTATTTTATTGAAGAAAAATAAAACATATAAACGAATTATTGTTTAATTATTTTTCTTATTACCGACATTACATGACAAAGAGTTAAGAGCGCCCTCTAGTGGGATGGGTGAAATGAAATATGAGTTGGGCTACAAATTAAACTCAGCCGCCTCTATACGGCTGATGGTATTTTACGAGGAGGAGCTTACTTTTTTTATGCCAGAAATACACACGGAGGTGTTGGCATACTCTCCAGAGGAGCGACCTTATTAAGGAAACACTATTTGTATAATTTTAGATGCTGGTCTGGGTTCAAATCTCGCATAACCACTCGGCTATAGCGTCCGATGTCTAAAGAAATCGTCTCAAAAATTAAGAAGGTCAATATCAACGTATGAAAAATCTCACAATATAACTAAAATTTTGCTTACAAAGTCATGGTCCTCTTGTTTGTGGTCTTCCATTGACTTCAGGGAAGGAACACATTTCTCAATTCCTCTATCGGTACAGAAAGAAAGTGATTTTTTCAGATATTCATAACGAAAGCTTTTAAGTTTTTAGGTTATATATGGTGGCAGGCTTAAACTTCATGCTCGGGTTAATTTTTCATAGAAAGACATAATTCGATTTCGGGTGACCACGAAATGTGGAGAAAACAGCTGGACAACATATTTTCTGGAGAAGAGAACTAGATCGACTTACTAATCGTAGGAAGTAACCCATTGGAGATATGCTTCTTCAAAGTCTGCAATTAATTGAGTTCCTGCATTGCATATTTGACTTAATTTATTACTTAATCCTCTCTTAATCACATATCTTAGTATGAAAATACATAATATACCGTTATATTGTAAATACATCTCTGTATAAAATTTCTACATTGTTTATTAATTATTTTTGTGATCATTGGCGGACGAAATTTTTACAGCCAAGACTTTAGCATGAATGAAGATATCTTTTTGCACATAAATAAATTGTTTATTGTTACAAATTGTAAACTTATTTCTCTTATTCTTGTTTTATTTATGAAAAGCTCTTCTATCTTATTAATTATCAAAAACTGGAAAATAGGGTACGTGGGAAAATATATTTAATACTTCAGTTAACACATTATACGTGTAAATAGTTTAATATAAATAAATTTAATAAATATACATTTCACCTTTGTCTATACTAGGACAGGAAATCAAGAAAATTTTATTCTGTTCCCATTACAGTGTTTTCTTACTTAATTCAAACTTATTCATTTATTTATTTATTTCATTTTATTTTAATTTTATTTTACTTTTCATTTCGTATCGTCTTGTTTTGCTTTGTTGTATTATTTCACAATATTTTATATGATTTTATAATTTTTTTCCATAACGAATTTTTTAATTTATTTTACTTTTTTCTCTAAGATAATTAATTTCAATTTTTTGAAGAAATTATGTTTCATAACATCCTCTTTTATTGTTTTATTCTAATTTTATTAATATTTTATTTTAATTTATAAGATATAATATAATTCAATATAATTTCAGATTATTTCAATATTTTCATTGTAATGTGTCTTAATGTATATCCGTTGCCGTATTTGTTATAACGGCGATGTGGGTTAAAGCTCTTTGTACTATCCGGCACTAGATGTCGCTAACTAAACACTGCCAACTGATAACATGACTTAAAAAAAACTTTATATTTTTACTCCTTGTATAAACTCATTATATATAATCTTCAACAGTATATATCTAGCAACTTGACTCAAGAATTTATTACAAAACTTGTTTAATTCAATTTCAAAATAAATTCCACATGGTGTTGCCACCGGATATGCATAGACTTATAAATTTACTTACTTGTTGGCATCTTCAATTGCAACACTGTGTGTACTTCAGTGTTTTTGTATTCGTAGATGTGGAAAGAAGTCTATGTGGGTTGAAATTTGCTCTTCCTTTTTTGTTATATATTTTTAAATAGATAATTGTGCAAATTATTTTGTTGGAAAACATTCAAACACTTAAAAAACTACCCATACCTTTTGAAAAATTTGAAGTTGTGAAGTTGTTAAAAAACGCTAAATCATTTTCGTTTCCGAAGTGAAAAAGTAAGCAAAAGAAACTACAATTACCTTTGCGACGAATCATCAGCAAAGGTGAATGACAGCAAAAATAGTTCTCTGAAATTATTTCTTTGTTTTACTCATTTACATTTTTTTTTGTATTAATTTTTTAACGAAAAACAGTTTAAATTTTTTTATAAATATATGTATTATTTGAAACAAGCAATAATTTCAGTAAATATTTAATAAATAAACATAAAAAAATTACATACTTTGAAGTTAATCACAAAATTAACACACGTAAAGCAACAACAATTACAACAATTCCACATCAAAGAGAAACAGCGAATCATTGTAAAGAGGAAGAAACGAAAAACGTCATCATTTGTCATCGCGTTTTACGCTTTACGTTGTTCTATCTTTCCCATTCTCAAATTCCAATTGGCCATAGACGGAAGACGACGTACTCATTCGTCCAGTACTGGTTCGTCAGAAATTTTGGACGGTTAAAATATTGTGAAAATTAATTATTAACCAACACGTAAAAGTTGATTACGGCTTGTTAAAATAGTTTAAAAAAATACCTAACCCTGTACAATTGGAAAGGTGCATTCATATTGCAAGTGCTATAGAAAGAAAGTAAAAAAGCAGCAAGAGAAGAAGTGGCAAACCCATAAGTGCAAACGAAAATTTAGATACTGGTCGCCATTAACTTGCAATAGTTGCAAGAGGAGAAAAATATTAGGTACTTGTACATAGCTAGTGTCGTTTCGTGGTATTCCCTGCCCTATTTAGTTCGCGTTGTATACTGTTATCTAAAAGTCCAGCTGTGTGTGATATACTCCCTCGTATGTGGTTTTATTTGTCATCAACACCATCACAATCGTTAATGTACGCCTAATAAATGAAAATTTTGTAAGAAAAAAAAAGCAAAATAATAACGTACTGACACTGGCCACAAAAGACGGTGTCTCGTGACATTGCTGCACAGCTGAAAAAAGACCCAAACAAAGAAACGAAAGTTCTACGCTAACGTCAACCATAATTTACATAGTGTTCACAAAAAAGGGAAAAGCGCAGTCAGACTGCCAGCAAGCAATTAACTACGCATTCTATTAGGCTCAGGTGAGCCAAATTTTTTTTTTAATATTTTTTCTTTTTTTTCTAATATCTAAATACTTTCACACACTTCCGTACTGATTGCATATAATTTGTGCACCTCTGACGTCTGGATATGCAATCAGCAGCTGTGTGTGTGATGCTCAAACAAGTTTTACTTTAAAAGTTTTATATTTTATTTTGTTTTGTAATATGTAGTTTGAAATATTTGTGTTTTTCTTGTTGTCACTTCAGTTAATCCATATAAATTGATAAATACTTTATTTTCGAGTTTGTATGACCGCCTAACTTTCAATTTTCTTTGATCCTTTACAAGAATATTAGGAAGTATTTTCATTTTATTTTACTTTTCTGTTAATCGTTTACTTAACATTGCTAGTATTAATACGTGCTAATGAACAACAACTCGACAACTCCATGCAAGTATTTTTTAAATGATATCGGCATTCGCAATAAACTTCATTGTAGTTTTCACTACTACACTAAGTTGTTTGACCTTACCTGTGCCACTGTGTTGCTACTACAACAACTATAATTGTAATTTAAATCGCTTTGTGCACTCAGCTATGCCATTAGTTGCCGCTCTAACTCTTCCATTCCACAATATTTATGCTTATTTCGCTGTTATTGCCGCCAGCCGGAAGCTGTTACTTATCTGTTTTGTTGCTATGATTTTATTTTTCGCTTTCGTGCACTTTCTGCAAAACAATATTATTTTGCTTGTGCGCAGGATGTATTTGCGTAAATGTGACGTTGTCGGGGAATAAAAATAATATTTTTTTCTTAATAAATTTGTTTGTCCCCACAGTGAGAACGTTGAAAAGAGCGACTCTAACCGGAGAACGTAAATACAATATTATTTATTTACGTTACGTATTTACGTTCTCTGCTCTAACAGCTAAAGCAAGGAATATAAATGCAAGTTATATACATATATTTAAACATAGTTCACTCAAAGTTTTTTAATATTATTGAAATTATTATTTTTTTTTTGGTTTTTGTGATTTTTTCCGGCTGTGAGTCAGTCATGTCACATGCTGCTGTATGCTTTAAACGAGTGCAGTACTTTGCACTTTATGTCATCAGCTGATAATTAAATCACTCTCCACCTTCCAGACATTTGCTTTGATATAAATACATATCTATAGTATAATTTGCAGCATTTCATACTACAATGAAAATTAAAATTTTAAAACTCAACACTTTATGGCAGTATATCCCAATTTGAAATCATTTTAAAAATTTTACCTTCAAACTTTTAAACGCTGTCAATGCATGAGTTTATTGAAATGGATTCACACAAGATTTCGAGTATATTTCAACTATTTATTGACTCTAGTTGAACATACATACATATATATCTACATACATACACATTTGCAGCTCATCAGACACATCATAAATGTACCAACTATAAAAACACAACTTTTACTTTCTCGACCTTCTAGCGTGTAATTTACTTTAATCAATGACTATCTTCAAATGTCTGGGGATTTTTAAATATTTTAAACAATTTAAATGGCAAATATGATAATAGTTACACAACTATCAATTATCGCCGAAATTGTTTAGAAGCTTGCTATGAGGATGCACACGGCTTATCTATTAATTTATTTATAAACTACTTTCACACTTCAAATTTCAAAAAATACATTTTTGCAACAAAAAAAAAAAAAAATCCCCAAATTCTCTTTGGCAGCATTTTTGGTGGTATTTTTACGCTTATCAGTTGATTTTTGAAAATAATAAAACGAAGCCCTGACAGATAATAAGTTGATTCATGCGACATTTTGCACTTGTGGTTGAGCATAAAAAGCGTGTGAGGTTTTCGATTCAAAAAGTATTTCATTGCAAATATCGCTGGAGAGATTTTGGATCCCTTTAAATATTTTTCAGCTATTGTTATTTCTTAAATATGTAGTTCAATTCATACAATTATACACACATACGCTTGATAGTCTCTGCCTAATGAGTGCTCATTATGATTATCCCATTTGACGGCAACCATTGTTTGTTTGTATTGTTTTTGTTCTTCATATTTTAAGTATCTGATAACAAGACATTCATTGGAGACAAGGAACTTGTTTTGGAAGTGCAGTTGTTAAAAAAAAGTTTTATTTTTATGAGTTTGTTTATTTATGATTTGCTCTGTCGCACACAATTGCGTCAGTAACAAAAGTACTCCAGATGCTTACGACGAACTATGCACTCATACACACCCAGACAATGCACTAATGCAGCCGGTTCTACGCACCATAGTTGACCCGGATTTTATCCGGCCAAGGGCTATCACCTTTTCGGCGACCTAGCCCTGTTTGGATATAATGGCATATTCCGCGCGTCGTTTGATTTCTCCATTTCTACAGGGAAGAGGTTCAGGGCGTCATGGGGGAGGTGAAAGCCTGCAAATCCATTGTCACTGACGGAATAAGCATGCTGACGCTAAAACATCTTGGACCAGCGGGAGCAGACTTTCTCACCAATGTCCTCAACTTATCTTTGACCACCCTAATGATACCTGACTAGTGGAAAACGTTCAGGGTAGTCCTGCTACTCAAGCCGGGGAAACCAGCCAACAAAGGAGTCTTATCGGCCGATATCTCACCTCTCCCCAGTAGTGAAGACACTTGAGGCCTTGCTGCTCCCGACCTTCACAGACCATCTGCGTCCAGCAGCACATCAGCATGGCTTCCGTCAAGTGTATAGTACCAGTACAGCACTAAATGCCATAAACGCACAGATAGTCAATAGCCGTAACCAAAACCGACCCAGCGCGCGAACTGTCCTGATAGCACTGGATCTGTCAAAAGCTTTTGACTCCGTCAACTATTCAGAGCAACTAACTAACATGCTCGACAATCTTCGATAATATTCCGAGGAGAAACATCGAAACCGATGAAAGTTAACCAGGGGGTTCCGCAGTGTGGTGTCTCTCTCTCCACTACTGTTTAGAAGGGGTTTCCCTTCGCCGAGGATTGCAGGATAATGGCGTCTAGCCAGGTTGTTGATGACTTCTGTTCGAAAGTGAGCTGCTACCTTGCCGATCTTTTTCCCTTATTCACAACCGACTAAATCCTCGGATTCCCTCTACAAGCTTGAACTAGATGTGAAAATCGATGAATACTCAAAGCGCTAAGCGGCAGCAATTGGGGGTAAAGACGACACTACCCACCTCTTCAACAGACTCATCTTACCCCCTCTCCCTCTGGTCCGATTCCGTCGAAGCAGCACACTTCCTGGACCTCCCGCTAGATGACCTCGGCGACTTAGATTGATTCAACCTGTTCCTAAGCGGGTTAGCGAACCGCTATAACAACAACAACAACACTAATGCTTAAACGTTGAGACCAATGAAATATTTCGAGATCAATGTACAATAAGTGCAATTCAATTTTGTGTGAGTACACTTGTTGTATTTGATTTTGATTTTATGTACAAATATATAATTACTTACATATATACACGTGTACATATTACAGTATGTGCATATTCTTATTCTCCCTTAACGGTGCTCGTTGGTGGAGAGCAAAATGAAATTTTTGTCTGAAAGTCAAGTTCATGTACCCGTTAAATATTTACCGTCTCATTGTGTATATTTCGTGTCCACCACTACCAATTGCATGCCCTTATATACAGCATACAGTTGGTGCGTCATCTCTTGATATCAGAACTTTATTGTACGAGCTCTGCTTGTAACTTACTCCATAACAGCCGTTATTTATTCAAAGTCGACTAGCGCGGCCGTCACATGTATATACTCACATTTATTAATACATATGTATATGTGTGTATGTACTGTATACTTATGTATGTTTCACAGCTTTTGTGTCGGCATAATATATTTAGGTACAAATCTACAACATTTATGTATTCGAATTGATGCTAAATATAAACCGTTATTATTTGTCAATTGATGCAAAACAAGTTTTGCTAACGATTTATAATTAATTCAGAGCCAAGACCCATTTTCTAAGCACAGCCAGCGTTCATTCAGTTCATACAATGTATGCCCTTTCATTCATAGTTTTCGGCACTTTGAATATACAATATTATATACATATGTATATGTATAGTGATAAGATTTGACACACTCTTGAGTTTACATGTACGGTTTCAATACAAGCTTGTGGTTTTTAATTTCTGTTTTAAAATCTACCACATTGTGGAGTTACTTGTAGTTGACGAGCGGCTTAATATTTAAATAAAAAATTATATATATATATATATATATATATTCACAGATGTATGTACATACATATAATTCATTATGATTTTTAACTTCATCTCACTGATTTTATGTTATGTTTATTTTTATATCTTTTGTTTACTGTTAATTATTTTTTTATTATATTCAATTTTATTAAACTTTTTATTCTGTATTTTAATTTACTTTGTTTCAATTTTTTTTATTTATTTTATATATTTATATATATATTACGTTTTTATTTTATTTTATTTGATTTTACGTTGTTATTTATATTATTTAAATGTGTTTTGTTTTAATTTAAATTATTATTTTATTTTAATCTTATTCATTTTGCTTTATTTAATTATTTATTTTTTTTTTTTTACTTTGCTTTAGCCTTTCTATCTTAGTTTAAAGATTTTATTTTATTATTTCCTTTTATATATAGTTTACTTTTAATTTAAGTTTAACTTGTTTATTAATATTATTTTTTATTTAAATATATATTTTTTAATTTAAATATTTTTTTTTATTTTAATATTTTTTAAATATATTTTTATCAATTTATATAATTTTTTTAATTCAAATATTTTTTTATTTAAATTTTAATTAGATATATGTAATTTCTTGTCCATGAAATGGTATGTTAATTTTGTTCCGAAGTATATAAGTACCGGTAGGATAAGATATGTACCTATCAAAATATGTAATTGCGTTGATGCCCGTCTGCCCATATTCTTTCAATTTCTGAGTTATTTCAAACAAACTTAGTATCCATATGCACTGGTACATATAAACGACCATTTGTCGGATCCGGCCA